CAATGCCACAATCCCGCACACATGTCGGCTCCACCAGAGAAGACACACAAACCACAAAAAACACCTCCACATGTTTTCCGAACATCATTCCGACACACCGCGACACGCCAAACAGAAGTATTCGTCACCCCAATGCACCTCCCCACACAATCAAATAGTCCACGCACCACGCACGGCAGCAGCTCACACGCGGTCAAACAAATGTTCTTCGGATCAGTGTTATCCGCGTGTTGCAGTGGGAAGTAAACAAAAGAGACGGGCGGCCAAACCCCAAAGGAGTGCCACGACTGGCCGCAATTCAACGGAACGCAGGCACTCAAATGAATTCAGTCCTCATGCCCTCAGCCTCCCACCTTCTCCCACAAAAGCTGCCAATCAAACGTGACGTCCAATAAATTCGCTTTGCAAAAAAAGGAGAAACCGCAGTGCCTCCTGCTGTCATCAGAGATGTTGTTTGTTGATTAATGCGGGCAGTCACTCACCTTCTCCTCAAAACAACGCTGCGCAACTGCAACGCATTCTTCAGAATCGCAAGTCTCCAACCACATCGGGAAGCTCCTACGCACCTTCGTCACACACCACAATGCAAATGAAAAAACAATGCTTTAGTTGGACTGCGATGCGGACCGTGCCACGCCGCCATCAGCTGCGGCTGGGTGCGGAGGCTGGGGCGTCCCAGCACACCACGCGATACTCTCTGGTTGGACGCGTCCACAGTGCGGCACCGCGAAAGCTGTACTGCATCGCTCGGCCAATGCGCATCATCGAAGGATACTTCTGTCCACCTGGCCGCCAATCCAGCACCGCAGCGGAGGACCATTGGGTTCCGCGCACCCTCACAACACCAACGCCTTACACTTTTCCGATGTATTGAGGACGTGTGTGGCGCAATCTGATTGGAGACCATGCCGCCGTCCATGCATGAAAAGCGGCGACATCGATCCCGCTTCCGAGAGATGCTGTTGTTAATGGATTGCGCCGCGTATGTGACACTATTGGGATACCCCACAGCCACAATCGTGCTCCTTCTATTCAACATCGTATTTTCCCCTGGGACACTGTGCGCTGCAATAAAGTGGAATTTATCAGCCACGCTTTGCCCAAGGCGCCTCTGGCGACGTCAAGCGCACGGCTATTGATTCTATTTACTCCTCACTGGGAGTGTATGATTTTGAATTATGGACAGACGTTTCTTCATCTCTCACCGAGCTCGCATCTGGATCCGCTGCACTATTGTATGGCTCCACCACGAAAAATGATGTCCCTGTGGAGGTACATCGTGCAGCAGCTGGCAGGCTCGCACGCTCATATAGAGCAGAGTGCCTTGCCACTGAAAATGGCATTAGACATCTCATACCTTTTGTCTGGAAACATCCCAATCGCCCACACGAATACTGGTGGCAACGGACTCCCTCTCGGCAATCACACCGCACACATCATCACAACCACAAGCACCAGCAGCACTGCAGACCGTGGGCTAACGTGACCAATTGGCGCATGCTGTACGTAAAAGAAAGCAATTAATGGCTTGACAAGGATAAGAAACACTGACAATATCTCAAAACAAAAGAAAAAATAAAATAAAATAAAAAGTCATGCGTCCACATTCTAAGCAAACCACCAATCCAAAAACAAGAAGAAAAACATAATGGGTCGACTCAACCACAAAATCAAAAAGGAAAAAAACAAAAAGCCGAAGCGTGGGACGACCAGCGCACACACTCTCATTGCTCCCGTAAAGCAAAACACACACACACAGGGAGAGAGAGAGAGGTCGCCCACTCAATGCAATAAAAACAAAACAAAAACAGTTACGGTGCTCCGCCCATGCAGCCAGGCAGGACGGCAGCGGTGCGTGTCGTGCAAAAGAGAGCACCAACGGGCCTGCATGGGTGTGCATGCATATATACAATGGGCACATTATTGTGTGTGCCTCGTGGGGTGAGGTGAGGGCGAGAGTCCATGCAAGGGCACACACACAGAGAGTGAAGGACGAGTGTGTGTGCGGGCGGTGCACGGCTCTCTCTCCCTCACTCTCACGTGGCCACCACCGCAGCAGCAGCCGCACAAGCAACAACAAGAAGAAGCAAAAGAGGGGAGGTGGTGTGGGAGACCGCGGTGCTGCCGTCACTGTCGCCAGCCCTCGCCGTATCATTTGTTTTGGCGTTTGTGGTTGGCGCTGTTGTGTATCCTGCACTCTGAGAGACCGTATCGTATTTGTTGGCTGATGCAGCTTCACCATCGAAAGTCGTTGCGGGTTGTGTGGCGCCTTCAGTGGAGGGTTGGTTCGGATGATTGGTGGTTGGAGTGCCTTCTGTGCCAGCATCAGACCGCAGAGCCGCGGTTGCCGTGGTGCTGCTTTCACTGTTGTCTTTCTTTGTCGCATCACTCATCTCTTCAACTCTTTTGGCTGACAATCGTGAATTTTCCTCTCCACTTGTTGAAGCGACAGCTTTCACGCAGGTGCCATTCCTCTCTTGAATTTCTCCTACCACAGGCATTTGAGAATTCTTCGTGCCATTGCCGTTTTCGCGACTTTTCTCGTTATCAGGGCCAGCTGCAGATGTGGATGATGGAATTGCATGCGGTGAGCTGTTCGGTAATGGAGGCTGCAAAGGGCTCGACAAATCTTGTTGATTTGTATTAACTGTCAAACTGTCACTTGTTGATGTTATCGTTCCAACTCCATGAGTTCCATTCAATGATGGTGACTGTAAGCCCTCATTTTCACGCGACTGCGGGCTCTTCACTGACTTCGGGTGGTTTTCAGGCTTTTTTACCTCTTTACTTGTTGCATCGCCCCTATTTTCTTTTCCAACATCCTTAGCACCTTCTTCTCCTGCTTTTCCTTCCTTATCACCACCAGCACCGTCTTCGCTTCCTACCGGAGGGACTTTGGGAGGTGGTGAGATAACCTCTTGTTGTTGAACTTTTGGTGGTGGTGTTTCTGGGGCCAATTTTTTTGCTCCTGGCGGTTCAGAACGTAATGAATCCTCTGAATCTCCTCTCTCTCTCTCAATACCACCGGACACGCCAGAGGGAGATACGCCGGGCACTTCTTCACATCCACCGCCAGCACCGCACCACAGCACGCAGAGGGCACACACCAGCAGCACACGGCCAGTCATCATCATCATCACTCCTGTCACTTGCGTGCAGCCTTCAGCACAAACTAACAACACGTCAGCGCAGAGTGAAAGCAAAAAGAGAGACACGACCGCTGCACCACGCCACAGTCAACGCACAGTGAGAAATTGCAGCAGCAACAGAGCACACACCATGAGGCAGGTGGAATCAGCACGAATGCAAAACTTGCACACCGCCCTGCAAACCAGAAGACTAAAGGCAAGAAAACAAAAAACTAAAAAGGAAAAAAAAAACAAGACTCCACTGCGCATGCATATGAGTGTGTCTGGGATGCGTTCAACGTGACGGATGCGGGGCACAATGCGGAGCACACAGTAGGGCGGCGGAAGCAAACAAAGCAAAACACAATCATCATAATTGCTCTTACTTTATACATCGGACCACAATAGATGCACATGTCCCGTGGCTGAGTGCTGGCACGCACATCCCGCACACACCTCTTCAGCCCACAGTGGTGTAGGCCAGCGCGGATGCGGCGAGCAGCAGCGGGGCGCACACCCACGCAGAGCCGCCGTGACTGCCGTCGATTTCCCGAAGACGTGACGGTGCGCGGGTGGTCGTCGTGGTTGGCGGCTCTGCATTCATAGCCGTATCACTTGGTGCCTCTGTAGTGGTCGTGGTCGTGGTTGTCGTAGTTGTGGTTGTGGTCTTAGTCGTGGTTGGTGCCTGTGTCGTCGTGGTCATCGTTGTTGCGGCGGCCTTCTTTTGTTCATTTTCCGTAAAGATATTCGTATGTTCTGTCCGTT